AAACTGTCCATTCACCGCTCGCTTGTCTCACTGCTCATTCAATAATGGCCTCTGAGAAATAACGAGCGCTGGTGGAACCGGGCGGGCGGGCCGGGGAGTCGGACGCCGAGCGTCGGGCCGCGTTCAGGATGACCCGGGCTCATTGGTGGAAAAGAACAATCTGTCAGGGTCGGCTAGCTCGTGTGACTGTGACACCGAGAGCCGGTCGGAGCTGCGGGCTCACCGGAGCTCAGCCTGCAGCCGGCGCCGGCGCCGCCAGGCGACCTGCCTCCATTGGCTCCTCCGTTTCCTGTGTTGCATCAGAAATCAATAGTGCAGCCGAGTTTATCTGACTTTCATCGTGGCCGAGAACCAATCAGCGCTTATCTGCGGCAGGTCAGCGGCTTTCATCCAGCGTTGTGCAGGTGGCAGACCTCAATCTGAGCGCCGCCGCCTGGGCTCACCTCAGATCCCAGCCTGGTGGTTAGAGCGGTTAGAGTGGCAGCGGCCGGCGTGGTCAGGGCCCCCGTCACCCCCAGCGCCTCAGTGTTCATTTCCCTTTCATCTTGAGTGTGAAATCGCTGCCAGTGCAGCACTGACCTCAGCATTAAGAGGTCAACTATTGAAATCTGATGTGCGCCTCTCTGGCTGAGGGACTCCAACAGATGGAGGGAAAGAGAGGGAAGGTAAGAAATGGAGGAGAAAGGGCGGCTCTGGGATTAACAAGTTGTATATCACAGGCCTGAGTCGCACCGAGACGTTGCTAAAGTAGGTTAAAATGGTCTGGAGGTGGGCTGAGGAGACGATGCTCCACTCTGGGTAGTTTGGAGTCCAGAGGACGTCTGAGCGTTTAGACTGAGGTGGACGTCATGTGACTGAACTGTTAAAGGTCTGAATTCAAACACAGCGTCTTTGTTTTCATCTCTCCACCAGTCTGTGCTGTTCGATGACGACGTCTCCTCACACTCATGTCTTTGAGTAAAGAAACTCCAGAAACTCCAAACTTTGCCGCTTTTGGCAGCTTTCTACAAAATACATGCCAGAACGAGCGTCTCCGTGTGTTTCAAACATAAGGTTCTGCATTTAAAGTCAATTCGACACCTCATCTCAGTATGAATCCCCTCTGAAAGCATATGTGATATGAAGCGTCAGAGAAGTTTGAGGTCTTGTCTCATATTTCCCATCGGCTACACTTTCATCCCTCTCTCTGCAGCGGACCACCCCGAGCAGCCCGGCCCAAATAAGGTGTTCTGCCTTCAATGCTCTCCTCTCTGAAGAATCTGAGGAGTTCAGAATCTGCCGAAACTTTGGATCTCAAACACAAACATCTTTTATTCAAAGGGTGTCTGTAATCACAAATAAATAGCTTTTCTGGTGATGAGCACAAGGCACAAGAGAGAGAGGCGCCTATCTCAGGAGCAGATAACTCGTAGATATGATTCCTCAGATAAGGAGCAGTAATTTGGCTTTTAGAGATAGCTCCGGGGGCCGCGGTGCCGAGCTGCGCCGCTGATTTACTGGGTGTATGGGAGGTTGTTTTTTTTCCACATTTTTATCTCTCCTGTTGAAGAGCTTTTCATCTCTGATGATTTTCTCTCTTTTTTATGTATTTCCCCCAGAAGGTGAGATCACAAACCCACAGAAGGCAGAGTGGCATGTTTTAAAGCGATGGACAAAATACAAATATTTGAAAATGTATTTCATGGTAATTATGTCAGGTTTCATGGCCTTGGCACAGTACTGAGGCACAGCCTGGATGCCTTAATTTGTATAGAAATTGTAATCATTTGTTCATTTCAAGGTGAAAATTGCATTTTTTAATTTAAATTGTATCCTGCGTGATAGGCTATTATCTAGAAAAATTGTCTCTGTGTATGGCGGTCTATGCCCTGCCGTCACGCCTGTTTGGAGCCACTTCTCCTGAGAAAGGGCTTGTATATGAATCTCCTGACTGAATGCACCCAGCTTGTTCTTCACTTAGAGCCGCCACTGCACTCATTTCCATTTTTGTTATTAATATTAATTAGTTTGAGAACACAGCTCAGATTTTAAATGTAAATCGAGCTCGGCTTCACAGTGATTTTTATCTCGCTCCGATTTCTTAGATTTACAACTTTGCTCGGACTTTTTTCTTCTCCTTTCATTTTTTTTTTTTTTTTTAAAACTGCTTTAAGGGAGGTGTGCATCTATGTGTGTACGAGCGGCTCGGCTGCGTAAAGTCCAGACTGACGGTACCGGCATTAGTGGACTGATTGAATGTAATGTAGGTGAGAGATCCTGTAATTGGGACACACTGGTTTCTGGTAAATCACACGACTTCCAGCTATGACAATACTCTATTTGAGCTCCTGCTTTTTGCTTATACATGACAGATTATCTATCTATAATACCTGAGAGGGGTAACCATGAAATTCTAAATACCTAAAATGTTCTGGAAATAAGATCTCCTCCCTATGCAAAATACATGGTTGGGAAGCAGATATATGCGCAGCAAGCTGTGCGTCTGTGTCTGTGTCAGTGGGATCCTTGAGGTGACGAGCACAAAGCTGAGGCTCAGGTACACAGCGTATGCTGGCATAATTACAGGATTTGGAGGATTATTATACTGTAAGTGCTTTCATGGCGACAGCTGGGAGCTTTTTACTCCCTGTGACACATAATCTCAAAGAATAAAACCAAGACCCCCAGAGCATTTCTTAATCATTTCTTAGCATACCTGCACACGGCTCTGAACTCTTTCTGAAGACAAATTTGTAAAATTAGAATATAATTATCATATCTGGTTTAAATCATTCTAAAGTCGTGTTTCCAAACAGACATTTTCTTTAAAATAGAAGCATTTTCGTGGCCTGTTTTCCTCCCGGCTGGCTGTTTGTGTTCCACCTTCTTCCTCCTCCTCGCGGCTTCCCCGACTCCTCCGCAGCAGGTTATTTATCACGGCACGGTCAGCTTCAGGAGCCCGGTCCTAAATTAGATCTGAATCAGAGCCTCTATTCCACAGCTCATTCGGAAAGTAAGTATGACCGGGCTGAGGCTGTGAGGCTTCTCTATCGCTGCCTCCTGAGCGATAGGGCCTCCTGGTCTCTACAGCGAGGCTCAGGAGTTTCATTTCCATCCCTGTGATCTAAACAAACCCATTACCGCCAGCTATTTATGCACAGGGGCAGTACGCGAGCCCCGGGCCTGAGGACACAGCCCACAGCTAAGCTACCATGGCGCAGAGCCACCTTCAATGGCCGTATGTCCATATAGAGGAGGCAGAGGAGGAACGGAGCGCTCGGGCCTCTACACTTTATCTAAACCACTCCAGAGAGGCGAGTGGAATCGGCTCTTGTGGGCTCTGTTTATCCCCTGCTCCTGTAGTCAATCAATTAGGGGATCAAAGGAGGAGATGAGGGAAGTGTCACAAAGCTCTCCCACACACCAGCGCCTGAGCTGCCACCTCGTCCAGTCTGAGTGACAGCAGACCGGAGGGAGACAAAACTCCCCGGCCGGCACCTCAGGAGACGAGCTGGAGCAAAGGGGACAACCATAGCACATGCCAAGGTCTAATCTGGACAACCAGAACACAAACTTTTAGAGGAATATATGAAGGATGACACATAGCAGGCAGAGAGCCACCCAACAATGCATATTTAATACTGGAATCCCTCCGTCTCCTCACAGCCACCTCGTATTGAAAACTTGCTTTGGAATCGATTTAATAATCGATGTGTTGGGATCCAGCCCCCACAACGCTGCTTTTTATTGTATTTTTTTTGCAATCAGGAAACTGAAAAGCGTTTCCCTTTGCATCAGATTGCAGCTCCTCGGTGATACGATGCTCCGACAACAGTCTGAATCAGGAACACTGAATATTCTGTTTATACTCAGTGTGAATATAAACGGCAGCTCGTGTCTAAACACAAGTTCTCATTTTGCATCAGATTTATCTGCTCACACAGTCTGATGTTGATGATGTTAGTAATTGTGATGCCTTTAATTAGTTTAATCTAACTGGAGACAGACAGCAGAGGACTGCTGATCCTCTGGTGGTAGATAAACTGTAGATGCTCCTCTCTCAGTGTAACTTGGCACAGTTCACTGTCTTTACTAATTTACACAAGATTATGTGGCGACATGTCATCGCGGCGGCGACTGCAGACACATCTGACGTGTCTGAGATGTGCTTAAAGCAGCCGGGACTGAATGAACATACCAGCGGCGTGTTGGACACGTCTCCTGCAGCGCCGACGGTGAAACGTGAATGAGCTCCACTGTTGCACTGACGTGTAACATAAAGCACACCGGATGCTTCCAGACCACACGGGTTAGTTCCCCTGCATTCACACCATACCACAGAGATTTGCAGACTGCATTCCCCGGACCGGCGGCAGGAGAGTGGAGCGCTGCTGGTCAGCGGGCAGAATGAATGACTTCCCACAGCTGCAGCGAGCAAGACGCACTCAGTCTGGGACGTCTCATCACAGCTCCGGCGCTGAGGAGTCGCTGGAGGAGTCGCTGGTGGCCCAGTGACCTCTGCCAGTGTGCTTGAACACACAGGGAGGACACACACACACACACACACACACACACATGCAGAGGCTATGTGCATGTAGTTAGGCCGAGATGCACAAAGCATGTAGACGACTTGTTTATGACTGGATGCAACATGAACAGCAGGGCCGCCGTCTTTCTGTGGATGGTTTCTTTCATCAGGTAAATTTTCATAATCACAGTAAAACACTGAACATACCTGTCAACACATCACGAGGCCCAAATTATGTCATAAAGCCGTTTGTTTTGTCTAAGCTACAGAACAAAACCTAAAATATTCAGTCTTAAAAGGTGTAAATGAGAGAAAAGGTGCAAATATCCACACTGGAAAATTCATCTTTGCTTCAAGAATGACAAACAATTAATTACTGTTGTCACAAATTGTGCTGATTACTTTTTGGAAATCAAATAAGCACACATTTTAAAACTAAGATTAAAAGACATGCAAAGCAAAGCAGGCAGTGCAATAAGGACAGAGGCCAGAGTCGGTTTTGGATCTTTAATTGATAACAGTTACGCCAGTGTTACAGTAAACACACCAACAGGCTGAAGGTAGTAAATACCAATACAAGTTTCCCACTACTCTAATACTTCATACAGCAGAATAAATTATACCATGATAATATACAAACATGCGGAACAGAAAGAGGAGTAAAGCAAAGCACAGATGTCAGAAAGCAACTAAACGGGTTACGGGTCCAACAGACGGGAGGGGAGCAGGTGTATGCCTTAAATATCCAAATGTTTATTGAGTGTTAGAAATGGTTTGATACACTAAAGACAATCTAAAATTCTTCCTTTTTAAAATATACACATGAGTGAGGCGTCTACGTGGAGCGGCGCTCCTGCTGCCATTCAGTGCCGAGTCAGCGTTACTGTCAAGTCTTATTGGTCCAACGAGTCCCACGCCACTCGTGTCTCGGAGGCTGCTGTCACTAGCATCACCTTCATCATCACCTTCATCATCACCGTCGTGGTGCCGGACCGCTGGCAGAGTCTCACACCGAAGGCTCAGGTGTGTTAGGTCCGCGGTCCGGTCACACCTGGTCCGCACCGGTCGTCAGTCTGTGAAACCAGGTGGTCAAAAAAACACCCTGAAGATTCTGTGACGGGTGAAGATGTTGGATCCAGCGGTGCCGCGGTCCAGGGAGTCTGTCTGGGACGCCACGCTTTCCTTTGAGCTCAGTTGGATCCTCGTTAATACAAATTTAATTGGAACAATTTCAGTGGAATTTATTTTTTCTAATTTATACAAATTCATTCGCGCCTTGGCCGAAAACCAGAAAGAAAAGTTTTGGTCGGAACAAGAGAACCAATTAAATACAATCGAAACCAAAGCAACAGAAAACAAGCCGGTTAAGGAAACTGAAACAAACATTGACTTCCACAGATCCTCGCTTCGCTACCACTCGACATCGCCTGGTTTTAGTATAAAACATACTCTTTGTAAAGAAACGATACACAATCTGCTCCAGCTACTGTACAGGGTTCGGTTCAGAGGCGACAGAGGACCAGATCCGTCTTGAGAGGGAACAATTCATTATCACACTGATGTCAATGAAAAACCACAGACGTCTCAAGGGAACCGCTGGTCCTGGATCAGGTCAAAGAGTCAACTATGAGCGCTACACAAATGTCTCGTATCCACTATTATTTAAATTCTTTTTCTTCTTTTGTACATTTCGGTGAGTGCGTCAAAGCGCAGGATTAGACGGGGCTCCGGTCCGGACCAGAGAGGGGGGCCAATCAGCGGCGGTACCTGTGCCCTTTCACCACTGACTGGATTATGTGATTTTCCAGAGTGCATGTGAATGGCACAGCTTGTCTACTTCTTAATCTCATAACAGAAAACGCTGGAATGCTTATAGTATTTTCGCAGATGGAGCCTGAGGAATGTTTCGAAGGAATGCTTCTTTAGGCGAAGAGTGGAAACCAACCCAAGGTGCATTTACAGAATGTGTTAATTATGCTGTAAGACGTGAACTGCTGGCTGGTAATGGGAAGGGTCACTGTGAATTAGCTCTGACATTATATTTGTGTGATTTAATCTGCTTTACACTGTTTAAGTCACACAGGATTCCCTGGCAGATGGGATTTGGGAGGAGTGGGGAGCGGGGGATGAGCTAGCCCTCCTTGGCAAGGTCCATATTTCAAAATACATTAATTTCCCCAATCCTGTTTTTGCAAACAATGCCCCCCTCCCTACGGACCGCGGCTAAGGATGGGATGGAGGTTACAAGGGGAAAGCTATTGGCCGCCAAAACGCTGCTCTAATTCCCTGCAGAATCCATCCAGCCAGACTTCCCACAGAGTGGCCAAGTTCTTTAGGAATGTCAAGATGAATATGAAAGTGGGAAGGTCAAATCGCTCGTGAACATTCGAGCTCAGGGAACCGGCAGAGGAGCAGCAGCAGCAGCAGCTTGGAAAACAATCATCCTCTTTTGTGCGACTGTGCCGACACGCAAACATGCACACGCAACAGACACGCACTCCCCGATCGCGTCAGTCATCCACCGCGTTTTACACACCGACATCTAACAGAGAAAAGAGATACGAATGGAATCAAAGAACAACAGAAATCACAGTAACCATAATCATAGAACAGCAACAATAATCCGAACAATATCAAAAAGGAACAAGAATAAGAGTCGCTCAAATGATATCGGCTTCGTTAACTACTATGAACAGCAAGGTCAAAGTACATCGATGGCTCTGAATGTGTGCTGGACTGCAGCCATGACAAAGAGGAATCCGGGCCAAGGCATCGACCATCCTGCAGCTGTCTGGCCCTCCGAGCAGAACAAACAGGGTCTGGGGCTGGGGCAGGAGGGCGAGGAGCAGACAAAGATGCCCTACGGATCGAGGGGAGAGGGTGCAGAGCCGCCTGGTGGTGGACAATGGTGTGAAAGAGTTTAGTTCCACTCTCCACAGAGACTTCTCACACCCACTAGCGTCACGTTCTCTGGTCGCAGAGAGGCGGCGTGTCTGTGCGCTGATGTCATGGCCGAGCTGCAGCGCGAGCGGCGGAGAAGCGAGCCGGAGTTGGAGTCCAGACTGGATGGAGCATGGAGGAGGGTGGCAGAGGGTGAAATCGAGAGCGGTGGTGCAGGCAGGGCGAGTCCCGAGAGGCTCAGTAGGCCTGACCCGTCTCCACCTGCAGCAGCCCCAGCACGGCCGAGTGGTCGCCCAGCTTCATCCTCCTCTGGGTGGACAAGCTCACGTTCTTAGCCAGGTAGTCCACAGCTGCTGCTCACACAGACAGACAGACAGAAAGGAGGAGAAGAAGAAGGAAAGCAGGAGACAAACACACGTTAGACAGGTGGTAGATTCCTCAGACATATGTCCTATTCACTCTCATCTCATTCCTCTGATTAGGGCTGAAATAAGTTGTGGCAGAAGAGAATGAGTCAAATGAAAAACAATTCAGGCAGAGAGAGTGAAAGATAAAAACCCCTCCCCTGTCCCTTGTCTGAGGTTGGCACGCTGCTGGCACAGAGCATGTGCATCCTCGTAAAGTCTCCATGCTGTCACTCACACGGGTCCCCGTGTGTGTTCTGTGTGCCAGTCTTCATTACACTTGGCATCTCTGATTTCATGCCCTCCACACTCCACATGGCCGATCATTTTCATCCTCAGACAGCAGCTCTCTCCTCTCTCCTCCATTCATTACCCATCTACTGTGCTCAATCACCATCTTAATTAACCTCACATCAGCTCACATCCGCACTGCCATCAGTTTCTTGCTGCTGACAAAACACTGGTGAGCGCGCGCACACACACACACACACACACACACACACACACACACACACTCAGAAACGTGACGGACTGGCACTCGCTTGCATCCAACACAAACACATATGTTAAGGAGAAAACCAGCGGATCGCTCCTGGAACCTGCACATAAATACAAACAAATGTGAGCGAGCTGCTGCTCGCCGCTTGTTGGGGAAGTGTGCTTCATTTTACCTCCTATGAATGGCTGTGACAGCATCAGTCAATTATGCTAATCTAATAAAGCAAACTCTTTCCTGCCCCGAGGGCGTGTGTGTGTGTGTGTGTGTGTGTGTGTGTGTGTGTGTGATGGAAACGGGAGAAAGCGAGGTGGGCAAGAGGACACTGTGGCCCCTGAGGGTGTGCCGTTCTTTGAAGTGGCCCTCTTCTCGTTCCCATCCAAGTGGAGTGGGGTGTGACTAAGGCAGCTCTGTGTGAGCAGGGCGCTGGTGGTGCTGGTGGTGCTGGTGGGGCTGGTGGGGCAGGGGGGTCTTTATCAAGAGCACGTGTCTGCCTCCACCAAGCAGGGTGCAGAGGTCAGGAGGCTCTCTGGCTTGCCTGGGAGTCGGGCATCACTTCACAGCCTTTTTGTTTTTTAAAAGTACTCAAAGGAGGAGAAGGAACCACCGACCGCCTGCTTATGCAACAACAACAGCAGCAGCAGCATATGTACTGGTGCAGTACTCACTCTGGCCGTACTGGCTGTACTGGTAGCCCGCGGCGACGGGGTCCACGCTGTAGCTGGTGGCGCTGTAGGTGGGGGGGCAGTAGGACTGGGAGGAAGCCAGGCTGTCCACACTCTTGATGGTGTCGGAGCGCTGGCTGCAGCTGGCTGAGATGGGGTTGGAGCTCTCCAGGCTGCTGTGCAGGGGGGAAATGGAAAAGTCGTGCTGGGGCTGGGAGGGTACGGCGCTGGGGTTACTCAGGATACTCATCACCTGAAGGGGGGGGAAAGAGGATGTTAGAAACTTGGAAAATTGAGGATCAAAGCATTGACAGAGTTGAGGGAAAGTACTTTTTTTCCTGCAAGTATAGTGCCATCCCAGCACTTCACGGTAAAGATGCCAATAGAAATGCACCATTTCAACTTTGAAATAGGGAACGGGAGAAACTTCCCCATCGTTTTTTTAAAGAGCAGGGGGGGAGGATACAAGGAGGATGATGAGGTTAAAAAAAGGAGAAAGGGAACAAGAGACACAGTTTCCATTAGCTGCCGCTGCCAGTAAGTGTTCTGCTGTGGGACAGAAGGGTCCCAGGGTGATAATAGACCCACCATCCCTGCCAGACAGCCCCTGTCCTGGAGCCTGAGGCCTGAGCCCGAGCCTACAGCACAACAAGCACCAAGGGAGTCCCTAATCCCTCGCCCCTAGCCTACCCATCTCATGAATAGTAATGGAGTTGGAACTGGTAAATGATCCCCTCAGATCCCCACACAAAGTAGGCTCCACAAACCATAGTGAGGGGGCCGCTGATACTGCAGGTTGGGTCTCGCCTCGATATTACAGTGTGTGTATTATTCATAGTGCATAAAAGCTCCCAATTCAATATTCTAGATTAATGTAATAGCATGTGACACTCGTCAGAAGAAGGTCTCAAAATATGTTAAAATGGAGGAGATTACTTCTAGTGCTGCTCCAATCCCAGCACAGTGGCCCACAACGCTGTGGAGAATGTTGTTTTCTTATGCCGCGAGTTTCTTTAAGTGAAAAAGTGGTGTGTGTGTGTGTGTGAGTGTGTGGGAGGGTGTGGTAGAAAGAGAACTGTCCTACACATGCTCCCCTCCTATAGCAGCGAAGCCTTCCTCTCAACATCAGGTTCATGTTGAGTTTCGCTATGCTGCACTGGCCTTTGGCCCCTCTGCTGCTAAACCAATTAGCCCATCATGGAGGTGGTTACACAGGGCTGCTACACACACACTCACACACACACGTTTGCATGCATGCACACACACAAACGGACACGCATTCACGTACGTACACATACGCGGCGGCGGCAGCAGCCATGGAGGCGATGCAGGGGGAGGCAAACAGTCCACACATGATGCTCCGCACCAGGAGAATCCCACAGAGGGAAAATTAACCATATTCTGCAAATTAATCACATCTTTATGAAGAGCCTCCCTGGAAGAACGAAGCCCTCGCAGCACATCAGAAACATAAAGGCTGGTTAGTCATTTCCACATGTTAATTCTATCAGTGAGGAAACCCCCACCGGCCCTCCACATCTGCGGACAGAGCATGTGACATGTATCCATAAGAGAGAGATTCATGGCCCTCTTCATGCCGGACACATGCGATGCTCCCTCCCATATGGACCTGAACACTCGGAGCAGAGCACGGCCTGCTGGGTAGCTCACAGCTCAGGGGGAGCTGCTGGAGTGTCCTGGGAGAGCCGGCTGGAGGGCATGAGTCCATTTTAGTCATTGATTAATTGAAGCTTGATTGCATCGCTCCCTTATGAAATAGAATAGCCAACAATTGGCTCCATTATTATTCATGCTCATAAAAGTTCTTCAAAAGACTTCTTATCGTTCACATGATGCAGTTTTGCTATTTTAGCAAATTAGACTTTAGAGCCTGACGAGTGTTGGCATGTGTGGTGATGAGGAATCCTTCAGACGTCCTTTAGAAGACAAAGACAGGGTTCTGTGCTCATGGCTGAAGTTTTCCTGGAGGGGGAGAAGCTAGGTTCTTCTGCATTCTTGTGTTTTGTGCTCACACTGCTGAACAAAGGTCTGTCCTCTCAGGCCGATGAGGGCCCAGATGGAGGTGGACTTTCCTCTCAGGAGGCCGAGCCGGGCTGGAGTCATGTCTCCTCCACCCACACCTACAGTCCTTCATGTGATCCACAGGTCAGTTTTAATTGCAGGCTTTTGCTACTTTGATGTTCCCATAAAGTTTTTTTCACGCCACATTCGAGTGTTAAATGATCCTTTGTCACTCCGGCCAGTAAAACCATTCACGGCTGGATACATTCACATATTTCCGCGGCTGCACGCTATATAAAACAAACTTTATAGATATTAAATTCTGGCACAACGTCTGCTAGAGTGGCGCTGGTTCAAAATCCTCCTCAATGCTGCTGCCAATGAGTGTACTCTCAGAAAGGAACAAAAGCTTTTTGTTAGGTTTTAACAATAAAAGTGCGTGCACCCTGATAGACATGAGGAGGACGTGCAGCTTGACTGAGGCTCATTATCTGACGAGTGAAGCTGACGCGAAGCATCCGAGTGCAGCAGGTACGACTTGTGGAGTTCAAACTAAAGTAAAATGTCAGAGCTGAGACAGAACTATCTCTGCGGCACCACTTTTCCTACATGCATCCAACACAGTCTTGCAGAACAGAGTTTCTCCCTCTCGCCGTCTCCCCCTCCTCCCCCTCTCTCGCTGCATACGCCGTCCTCAGCAGCCCAGAGTTCGTTTGTTGTTCGACGTTGTGTGAGTGCTGGTTTGGGAGATAATGTGAGCCAGGACCTAGTTTAAAGGACAATGCTCCAGGGCGTTCCCTGCCTCCCGCACTCCCCCACTCAGCCTCTCCCTTCTCCCCCTCTTCCGCTCCCTCTTTCTCTCTCTACAGATAGATTACTTTATAAATAATAATAAAAAAGTAATTAATTCTCTCAACTTCTGAGCCCTGCAGCCGGTGGCAAAGTGAGAGGGAAGTGTAAGTGATACAATGTGCATCCTTTCAGATAAATAAATGGCGCACTTGAGACAAAAACAGGCCCTTTCATTCCTCCCTAATTTCTTCAACAGTCAAATTACATTTTTTTCTTTCCTGTTGTTGTTTGTGTGAATGTTTGACGAGTTGTTCTTTGTTGGATTTCTTTCCAGAATAAAACAATGTGACGGGGACAGAGCTGAGAGAAGCACCGCAAGTCGTACAAGACCGGAAAAAATAAATAAAAACACAACAAGAGAAAAGAAAGTCAGAAAAGACAGAGAAGGCAAATGTGCTGCAATGCCACAATTTTGGAAATTATAATTAATGTCATAAGAAGATCACAGTAATTAGCTGGTATTTTTCCAGTTTGAATTTGTCTTATGCAACATTGAAATGTGCAGCGTTTATACTGAACGTGCTTCAAACCTGTCATTCACAAAAATCACACTGCATCCGTCGCCGCTGTCGCACCTGATGGTAACGAGCGTGCAGTCGTGTGCTGGATTAAAACAACACAAATTCACGAGTGTAAAGAGAGGAAATGGAGCGCTGAGAATATGATAGCCTATAGAAGGAAGGCGGGGGGCAGAAGAGAGAGTGATATAGAGTGAGTGAGAGGAAAGTGGAGGCTTTAGGAAGTACAAAGACTCCTGTAGGACTGCGCTGGCCTGAGGGCTAGCCTGCCTGGAGAGCTGATAGGAGCCCCTTCTGTTCCATTCCCAGCGCCAGCGCCAACACACCCCACTCCACAAATACTCTTAATCTGCGCAATACTGGATTAGTTCCTCTGTCACCGATACCTCCCCGTTCTGCCCAAATCAAAATGCCCCCAAGATGTACCTTTAAGTTAGGCAGAGGTCACCGGGGCAGACGGGGAAAAATGAGCACTCCAAATGTCTGTAAGTTATCTGAGTGCTGCAGAATAGCATTGTGCACCTTAGCAGATCTGGCCGGCTGATAGCCGCTGCAGCAGGCGACGATTAGAGATCCACAGTGATGACACTGAATTTCAGATCAATATTTGAAGGCCAGTCCTGAGGGTGTGATTACAGCAAGAGAACAGAGTTTAATTCTGTGACCCTCAAGTCACACAGATCCAGTGTCTGGAGAGAGTGTGACTTTGGAAACAGCTCAGATATAAAATAAAGACGATTTCATAAAGACATAAAATACACATTAATCATTAAGATATAAAATACACCAAACTAGACATGTATAGAAAACTTGAATTATAATCAGCTCATCTATAAATATAGATAACTAAATATATAGACAACTAAATATATAGATAACTAAATATATAGATAACTAAATTCAAGTTGGATATATATATATACATATATATCCAACTTGAATTACATATATATATATATATATATATGTGTGTGTGTATATGTATGTATGTATGAACGAACTTGTGACTTGTGCAATATAATTTTCTTTCTTTGCCTCTAATTCTTTAAAAATCCAAATCAAACCCCTAAAAGCCTGAAACTAAACAAAAGTGATAGAAGTAAACACCAAATGAAAATATCAGGGACTTGTCCCTGCGAGTCGGCCGACTCCTGCTCCCTCAGCGTCCCGCCCTTCCCCCACGCCTCACATGAGAGGGCCGGCCCAGCGGGCAGCAAGGCCCCTCATCTGAGCAGACAAAATGACTATTTAAAAATAACAGTGATTGCATAAATTGAATTAAAGCGTTTTGGTCACGGTGGAGGTGGCGCGAGGGGTGGCGTGGGGCCGCAGCCGACAGCAGGGATGGTGGCAGGCAGCAGATGACGGCTCTGGCCTGCATGCCACTGCGTTAATTGGCCGCGGCACATTAATAAGAACTGAAAAGTGTCTTCCAGCAGCAGCACCGTAGGATGAAGAGACAGAGGCAGGATGAGAGGTAGAATGGGAAGAAGGACGGAGGGTGTGGTGGTGGTGGTGGTGGGGGTGTTCTGGTGCTGCAGGGAGGAAACGGGCCTTTGAAGAATGTAATGCATACGGGGGGCTGGGGTGGGGTGCTAATTGTGTTCAATTAAGTGGCTGATTGGCACTGACAGAATCTGGGCATTGACAAGCCAGGCGCAGATGAGGACGATTAGCGGGCAGTGGAACAAGCTGTCACTCCTCACAACATGTTATCATCCGGCGTCTCCGCACAGACTCATACAAAGGAAGCCTCAATAATGGAATACAATTCACATTTATTCGCACCTCCTCTGTGTCTCTTTGCAAATTTTCATTAACTAAACGCTTTCTAGTCCACTTTTGCTCACGCTAGCTTTAG